CGGAGTATCTGAAGGTTCACTAAGTAAAAATTTCAAAGAGGGATCTCTGTTATAAGTCGATGTAAAAGTGGTTCGAATCACATCTCTTCATTGAACTCGTTGGCACGTTCCGAGTTGAGTAGATTTAAGGAAGGGTATAAGGAAAGGGACTATTTGCAAAAAGAGAGCTAGTTCTAGCTAACAACGTTGACTGCTGTGGCCATGTTCGAATTTGCTACCTATGTTTTAAAGTTCAAAATTTTTGGATCAAATTCTATCTTACAAATTTTCATAATAAAATTCATTGGCGTTTCTAGTAGTTCACGTGTTATTTAAAATGAAGACGTCTAATTTTACAATTACCACGGCCACTACTACTTGAAACTACTACTTACTACTAGTACTACAGCAACTACTGCTGCCACTACTGCTACTACCACGACTACTACTACTACTACTAACACGACTACTATTTACTTACAACTACAACTACTACTACTACTACTACTACTACTATTACTAATACTACTACCACTGCAGCTACTACTCTTTCAGCTACAACCACCGCTAAAAAATTGGAAGCAGTAGTAATGAAAATTGTTTTTAACAGTAATTCATGCTGACGTTCACCGCTATTACTGCTATTACTGTCAATCAATCAAAGAAATTTATCTAGCGCAAATTTTTTTTTATAAAATTCACTTGCACTCTTTGATTAAAAATGTAAAATTGCTACTACTACCGCCACCATAACTACTAGTTATTAGACTACTACTGCAATCCAAGTATCGCAATTTTTATCTCTGGTATTACTACTTTTATTACCTTAACTGCGACTTTTACTACTACTACTTCGACTACTACCTCTACCACCACCACCACCACTACTTCTACTACTGCTGCTGCTGCTGCTGCTGCTGCTGATGTAGCTACTCGTTTTAGTAAATTTTTTTGTCATCTTAGCTTTTAATGTTGTCACCCTCAATAGCATATTCTATACATTGTCGACACCATCATCATCATCATCATCATCCTCTTCCTTCTCCTCTTCGCCATCATCATCATCATCATCCTAATCATCATCATCGTCATCATCACAATTCCTAGCGAGTTCTCTTCGGATGAACGCAATAAAAATGGCCGTGAGAGGTAAGCGATGAAGAGTTTGGGCTTGCATGCACGCACCATCATAAACAAACATAAACGTATTCGCATATAAACAATCTAATAAACAATCTAACATACATTCAATGCAAGCAAACAAGCGAACATACACACAAACAAACATGTATACAAACAAACAAACATATATACGAACAAACATACAAATCAACAAAATCAACAATCAAACATTAAAGACACAAAACTACTTGAAAAAGCATGAACAAACATACGTATAGCCACATAAAAATTAGCAAACGTTATTGTGCGCGACCATGTCTGTCTGTCTTTCTGTCTCTCTGTCTCTATGTGTGTGTATGTGTGTAGAAACGTGTATGTTTGTGTGTGTACTTAAGTGTATATTAGTAAATGCTGAAGAATTGCTTGTGGGAATGATTGATTGATGGAATGGGTTATGTTATATTTGGAACGAAACGATTGAACGAAAGAAAAAACCATTGAATGAATGAATGAATGAATGATAAATGGATGGATGGATGAATGAATGAATGAACGAACAAACGAACGAATGAATGAATGAACAAACGAATAGAGAAAATTTTAATTAAACTTAAAATAATGTGATTATAAGACCGTTTGGTTAGGGCGGGTAAGTGATGTAATAAAGTCAAATTAAGTAGCAATATTATTTAATTAATTAATTCACTAAATACGGACTAAGAAAATCATGAATGAATGAAAGAAAGAAAAAACAAACAAACGAATGAATGAACGAATGAACGAATGAAGATTTGAGTGAATGTAGAAATGAATAAAGGTATGGCTGAATCAACTACACGACTAGCTTAATTAATTCATAAATGAATCCAAAAAACAAAACATTCAAGTAATATAAACATTCAAACACGAATAGACATTAGAACAAACAAACATACAAACCTACATACATACAAACAAACAAACATACATACAAACACACAAATGTAAAGAGAAATTAATCATAATGTTCTTCCTACTAACTGCATGTAAGGTTAAATGAGATGACCTGAACATATATACATCCATCCATCCATCTATTATTATTATTATTATTTTATTATTATTATTATTATTAGAGATAGAATTGGCTGGATACTTTTAATGGCGACCGAATAATTTTATTGATCACGGAAGAATGTTTCATTTACTATGATGATGATGATGACGACGACGATGATGATGATGAAGCTGCTGATGATGAAGCTGCTGATGACGCTACTACTGTTGTTGTTGTTGTCGCTGCTATTGCTACTGTGGCAGCCACCGCTAGTGATGGTGATGACGCGACGATGTTGAGAGAGACATTAATGAGGAGAAATATTTAAAGTATTATGATTGATAACCACTGTCGTTATTGTAAACACACATACACACACACACCACACCAACACACACACACCACACACACACACTCACATACATACACACACACACAGAGAGAACAAAATTGAAAAATCAGTGGACGTATTGCAATATAGGTAAGTGTTCTGCTGCTAAATCGTTAAAAACGAACCATCTCTTTCAAACTCGGCCTATCTGTAGGTGTGAGTGTGTCCGTCTAGATGTCTTCATGTGCGTCTGTTTGTCTCGTTCTTTGTCTGTTTTTATGTATTTTTGTCTGTTTATGTGTGTATTTGTCTGTTTTCATGTCTGTTCGTCTGTCTGTTTGTTTCTACGTCTCTTAAAATATATGTTTATAAAGATGTTTTCATCGGTAGCAAGTTAAAAATTGTTTCAATGCAAGGTTTTATATATTTGTCTGTCTGTCTGCTTATATGTCTGTGATTTCATTCATATCAGTTTTTATATCTACTTATGTCTATTTAGCTGGTTAGTTATACGTCTGTTATTTTGTGTGGTGTGTTTTTCTTTAATTTGTGTCATTTTGTTTGCTGTTGTAGTTATTATTATTATTATTATTATTTATTATCATCATATTTAATATTGTAGTCATCATCGTCATTACTAACATTAAGATTTTCAACTTCCTTATCATCACCATCGTCACCATTGTCCTTATAACATACTATAACAAGGGGTGGGCTAACTACACTACACGCAAGGCCCTGTTCGCCAAAAAATGGCCGTCGGCCAGACATTATGACCAAAAAATGAGTCACAGATGTTAAAAAGTTTCTCCCCCGGGTCTAAAAATGTGCTATTTAAGTACATATGCGGCCTTTCAAGGGTAAAATAGTTCTCAATGCGGCCCTCACAGCAAAAAGTTTGCCCACCCCTTATACTATAACATAACATTATCACGGCCCTCATCATCATCATTATCATCATCATCGTCGTCGTCGTCATCATCATCATCATTGTAGTCATCATCAACGATGATGCTTAATAGCCAAAAGTAATTAATAAATCGATAGGAAAGTAACTAGTTTTCGACAAAAATTTAATTCATCATTCATTCTTTTTTTTTATTTTTTAGTGTTTATTTATACTTTCAGTCATTCATTTGTACCTTCAGTCATTCACTTGTACCTTCGTTCATTCATTTGTTCATTTATTCATTTATTTTAAATGCATTCATTCATTTATTTTGTAGTGTATTCATTCGTTCTTAGACTTTTTTATCCTTCGTTCATTATCTTGCTCGTTCCTTCATTTCTTCATTCATTCTGTCAGTCAGTCAGTCATTCGTTCATTCATTTTGTAATTCAGTACTTTATTCATTCGTTCTTTCATTCATTCGATCATTTGTTTAATCGCCGATTCATTTATTTACTTTATTCAACCGTCCGTAAACTTAATTATTTCGTTATTGGTTCATTCATTCGTTTATTTAAGGTTTTTTTTTATTCTTCGTTCTTTCGTTCGTTCATTCATTCATTCATTCATTCATTAATTCATTCATTCATTCATTCATTCATTCATTCATTCATTCATTCATTCATTCATTCATTCATTCATTCATTCATTCATTCATTCATTCATTCATTCATTCATTCATTCATTCATTCATTCATTCATTCATTCATTCATTCATTCATTCATTCATTCATTCATTCATTCATTCATTCATTCATTCATTCATTCATTCATTCATTCATTCATTCATTCATTCATTCATTCATTCATTCATTCATTCATTCATTCATTCATTCATTCATTCATTCATTCATTCATTCATTCATTCATTCATTCATTCATTCATTCATTCACTCAATCTAATCTAAAGCAAATTATAATCAAATAAGAATGTGGTGCGTGTGTGTGTGTGGTGTGTGTGCGTGTGTGTGAATATCATCATCCCCCATCTACATTTGTTACAGTCACTCTCATCATCATCTGATCACTATCGATAAAGTTGTTGTAAATTTAATCGATATGAAGGATAATAAAAATTAATTAGCTGATATTATAACAGCAGTGAAGCAAAGGACTCATTTCAACATTCTGCATTTAAAATCAACTTTGCTTTAATTACTATCATCAACTTCGTCTTCTTAGTTATAATTATCGTCAATTATTATCGATCAATAACTCCTTTGTTTGTCACTTTCTGTCACTCAATTACTTAATCACTTTGACGAAGCGAGTCACTTCAACACGGACAAGCAAATTGCAAAGTAATACAAAAAAACCAAAGATAATTCAAACATTCACTTTGCCGTCAAGTAACCTTCACGAGGCAGTTGTAGGATATATAAGGAGAGTCCTTCAGCGTTCATCAGTCATCTCCAGTTGGAAGCATCTCAGCGAACAACTCGTGCACATTTTTAAACGGACATTTTAGTTCATCTGCTGTTCCTACTTTCTAGTGCAAATAATTTTCAGTCGAGTGGCCAGCAAATCTTTCCAAGTGATAATTTTTGAGTCAACTGTAGAGCGAAATAATCTTGTTGAAGAAAATGTATAAAAAAGGAAGTGCCATGTCACTGAGACGCTGTGAGTTCCAGGCAGAAAGACCAAAGTTGCGAAGCATGTTCGACATTCAGACAGCCGAATTCAAAACCTACATGCTCACCAAACCTTGCGAGCACCAAACTGTCTTGGAGCAAATGAGGGAGCAAAAATTTCTTGAGGAGGCATCAGTCAGGGAAGTCTCCGAACCCTCGCCTTCCGTCGAATGGTACCCCCCTTCACCAAGCAATTTCAACCTGCCCACCAACTATGACGTGAACGAATCCTCCTACAAAGCTCTGGGTTGTATCATCAAGGGAAAGAAGAAAACGCTGCTGAACCTGGAGAGGCCTCTGGAAAACAACCTCGGAAGAGCAACTAAAATCTGTTTCGACGAGGCAGAGAAAGACGAGGAGGAAGTTGGGAAGGGGAGTGGTGGTGGAGTTGTAGCGGAAGTGGATGGGAGCAATGATGTCATGCAAAGTGTTGAAGAGATGGAACGAAACTTGATTCAAACTTTAGAAAACAAAAAAGTTCAACCCGGCCAGTCCAAGATTTTAATGACGGAAGAAATTCTAGCGGACGAGGCCTGGAGGCGACAGATGTGGCCAATGCAGCCCCTCTACCACTCCACCCCATGCCACAAAATGGACCACCTCCCTCCACTTCAGGACAACTTTATCAGGAACATCCCTGCAATCCTGAACAAACCCCCAATGCGCTCCCAGTGGAATAACAAGAACATCGCAAGAAGGATGTTGTGAGGTGGATGACACACCATCAGTTGTTCTACCACATTATTAACTCACACATTATTCGTTCCTATTTATCTATTACTTTTACTTTGTGATCAAACTTTATTTACTTGGTTTTAATGTAAGGCTCATTTAATTTTTATTTATTTTTTAATTATTATTTTTATTTACAGTAGTTTAATCAGCTGATAAACAAATTTTGTTCATTCATAACTCGTTTGCGTGTGGTTATTTTTTATGGTGATCATTTCCGTCATAGTCCTTATTTCAATCCTCAATATCAATATATATTAAATTGTATGAATGAATAAATGAATGAAGTAACTTGTGAACGAGTGAATGAATGAACGAGTGAATGAATGAACGAGGGAATGAATGAACAAGTGAATCAATGGACGAGTGAATGAATGAATGAATGTCCGAAACAAAAGAGACCAGTGAACCAATCAATTACTCAGTCAATGAAATGATAAAGTAAGTAGCTGGAATAATTAAACAGTATTAAATCATCAATTAATTAAAAAAGTAATAAAATTAAACTAAATTGATTAATTAATTAATCGGTGCGTGAGTGTGGAAAGTTCGAGGAGAACCGACCGGGAGATTCGATTTATGTTGTCGGTCGGTTCTAGGAAATCGTTTGTCAATTAGTCGGTAAAAGCCAAACAAGGTTTTATTTTATTTTTTCCATTTCTTTGTATTTTTTTTGCTTTTATTTTCTTTTTTTTCATTATTATTACAATTTTTTTTTATTGTGTTGTTTCATTTTTCTAAAAGTTTACAATGAAAAATGTATAAAAATTTTGTATAGTATGGTTATCACTTTGTAATAAATTGCCCCAATGTTTTTAACTTTATAAAGAATGGTTCTGATAGTAATGAGGAAGAGGAAGATGAATGACGTAGAAGATGACGTAGAAAATGGTGATGATGATAGTGGTGGTGTGATTGGGATATGTTTAGCAGGCTGCTAACTCCTAGTGCAAATTTTAAACTTGAATCATCTGCGTCTTTCCATTCACTCGCCTCCCTTTCTCTTTCTTCATCATTATCTCTTTTTATTTTTCTCTCCCTCTTTCTTCTTTTTTCTCTTTCTGTGTTTTTCTATTTTCTTCTTTGTACCAAAATCGAGATTTTCTTGCTTGTTTTAAATATTCTTCACTCTCTCTTCCCTTTTTCTGTCTGTCTGTTTGTCTTTCTCCCCTTCTCTCTCTTTCTTTTTCCCATTTTTTCTTTTTTATTAGTTCCTTGTTTCATTCCTTCATTCTCATTAACTTCACTCACGACTTTCCACAAGTTTCATATTTCTAATTTAAACTTCATCATAACTTAAATCAAGTTCATCAACCATCATTATCATCATCGTTGTCACCATCGTCATCATTCGCACAATCATCATCGTCGTCATTATCTAGCGATTTGATCCTTTAAAAAGACATCAGCTGGTCAGAAAATGTGATTTTCAGTGCATTTGTATGTATGTATGTGCGTACATGTGTGTATGTGTATTTGTGTGTACGTGCGTGTGTGTGCGTGTCTGTGTGTGTGTGCGTGTGTGCGTGTCTGTGTTTGTGTGTGTGTGTGTATGAATGATATGATTCATATACTTACATTTCTTCCAATTACAACAAATAATACGAATGGCCGGCGTTTTGTGATCTCTCAGGCGAGAGTAATGCTCTCAAAAAAAAATTAAAGCAATATTCCAATGATGCTATTATTTTTAAATTATTATTATTGTTATTATTATTATTATTATTATTATTATTATTATTATTATCATTATTATCATTGTATGTTTTTATGGTGAAAAAATAAAAGATTTTCCCATTATTATTATTTGCGTAACAAATATTAATGAAAATTGTTATATTAGTAGTAGCAGTAAATGCGCCGTTCATATTTTTGGTTCAAGTTAGAAGAAGAAGATGACGATGAAGATGATGACGATGATGATGAAGAAGATGACGACGATGATGATGAAGATGATGACGATGATAATGAAGAAGATGACGACGATGATGATGAAGATGATGACGATGATGGCGATGATCCTGATAATGATGATGAGACGGGAGCGATGCCACTACGGTGCGTTCGCCTAACGTGATGATCAAAGGAATGAGAAAAGAATTAATAGAATGAAAGAAATTATGTTACAATTATTCTTTATAATAAAAAAATTATAAATAACAAAATTGTAGTAGTAGTAGCAGAAGCAGTAGTAGCAGCAGCAGTAGCAGCAGTAGTAGCAGCAGTAGTATTAGTAATAGTATTAGTAGTAGCAGCAGTAGTAGCAGCAGTAATAGTAGTAGTAGTAGTAGCAACAGTAGTAGCAGCAGCAGTAGTAGTAATAGTAGCAGCAGTAGCATTAGTAGCAGTAGTAGTATTAGTACGAGATAAACTTTTTTTTCCTAGAAACATTTTTTTCTCGGCCAAACTAAATTTTCACATGGCTTCGTTCAGAGCCCTCTCATGCTGATTATCTACGATGATAAAATTTGCTAAAATAAAAATGATGAAAAATAATTAAATAAAAATAACTGAATTATGTAAGTTAAAAGCCGGAAATTATTATTATTATTATTATTCAAATGTCATAAATTAAAAAGTTGAGAAAATTCTAGAAATAAATTTGGAAGTTACAAAAATGTTCGCGTCCGGTGTTAAGGTGATGATTAAACTGATCTCATTTACACACACATACACACAACACACACACACACACACACACACACACAACACACACATACATACATACAAAACTATATATACAAACTCACATATATACATACACATACAGTCACACAAACATACATTCATACTTACACAGAGATATATAGAAATGACGACGACGACGATAATAATAATAATAATAATGATAAAATAAATAAAAATAATAAAGTTAACAATATTAATAATAATCCAAACGATGACGATGATAGCAATGATAAACCGCATGAGAATGATTATGATTACATGAGAGAGACTAGACGAGGTAAGGTTCTGTTAATATAGTTAGGCGCTATATAAATCTACATTTGCAAGCATCAATTATGGAACGTGTGTCATATTTGAGATGCTTCCGTGTGAATGTGACTAATGTTGCCAGCGTTTTTAAGTTCACGCCAAAATCAGTGGTTTTGACGCCAGTGGTAGTAGAAGCAGTAGTAGTAGTAGCTGTAGTAGCAGCAGCAGCAGCAATAGTAGCAGCAGTAATAGTAGTAGTAGCAGCAGTAATAGTAGTAGTAGTAGTAGTAGCAGCAACATTAGTAGCAGCAGCAGTAGTAATATAAGTAGTAGCTGTAGTAGCATTAGTAGTAGTAGTAGTAGCAGTAGCAGTAATAGTAGTATAAGTAGCAGTAGTAGTAGTAGTAGTCGTAGTAGTAGTAGTAGTAGTAATGTAGTAGTAGTTTTAGTAGTAGTAGTAGTAGTAGTAGTAGTAGTAGTAGTAGTAGTAGTAATAGTTGTAGTAAAAGTAGTAATTAATGTTATTGTTATTGTTATTATTATCGTTATTGTTGTTGTTGTTGTTGATGTTGTTTATGTTGATGTTGTTGTTGTCTTGGTCATTAAAATGTCGTTGCTGATAAAATTGTCGATGATTAGTAAAACGGTCAGTAAAACATTTGATCCAATTATTATTAATGTCTTTATCACAATCGTATTAATCATCATCAACAACGACGCCATCATCATCATCGTCCATATCACCACTATAACTATCATTATCACCATCTATATCACCACTATAATCATCATTATCATCAATATTTTCTCCATCATTTTCATCATCTATATCATTATCATCATCATCGGCTGAGTGATAATAATCCTAGAGCAATAAAGTTTCTCGCATGATGAACTTGCTTCATTGGTGACTCTAAATTCGTGTGTGTGTGTGCGTATGTGTGTGTGTGATGTGTGTGTGTGTTCGTATATAAGCATGTGTGGTGTTGTAGCGTATTTCATAATTATCAGTGATTGCACTGAATGGACAAAGTGAAGTTGGGCGTTTGTTTGCTTATTTGTTTGTTTGTATGTTCATGTTTGTATGTTCGTGTTTGCATGTATGCGTCTATGTGTCTTTGTATGTATGTCTGTATCTATTGCTTGACTGGTACTTCAAATATGTCGGCCGGTTTCATTTAATTAAGGGGAAATGTGAATGAATGAATGTATAAATGAAAGAAAGATGTGTCAACAAACTCGAAACCGTTTGGTCAGCAGACAAAATGTACAAAGCAATAAAAGCTGGCCATTGCAGAGTTGATTGAAATATAAATCAAAGAAATGAATGAATGAATGAATGATTGAACGAACGAACGAACGAACGAACGAATGAATGAATGAATAAACGAACGAACAAACAAATCTACAGATGAATGAATGAACGAATGAACGAACAATTGTATGAATGAATGAATAATGTATAAAGGGATGAAAGCTAAATGAACTAAGAAATCGACAAAAATAGAAAAATTTGTTTAATAAAAATTGTTTAAACAAATGTGAGAATAATCCTAAACAACAGAACAACGACTACTACTACTACTACTACTACTACTACTACTACTACTACTACTACTACTACTACTACTACTACTACTACTACTACTACTACTACTTACTACTACTACTTTTACTACTACTACAACTACAACAACAACTACTACTACTGCTGTTGCCACTCATACTACTAATATTACTACTACTGCAACGTCAATAACAATAAAATAACAAAAACCAAAAACACTAAATCGCATTTTATTAACCATCAACTGCGATGGAGAGATCGTCAAGTAGAAATGTCATCATCATTATCAGCATTGTCGTCGTTGTCGTCATCATCATGATCATTATCGTTGTTATAGTTGTTGTTATCAACACCAGTATCATTGATGTTGTGGTTGATGATGATATAGATGATGATGATTTTCAAGGTGGCGATAGTGACGATGCAATATTTGTTAACCTCCTGAAAAAATTATGAACAGTTGGTGACGTAA